CCAACACGTCTCTTTACAGGTAGTTCTCATACAAGATTTATTCCCCAGCACCCCACCCCCAGTTCACAGTGGAGGGCTAAGGAGATTCCGAGGAGGACCCCTGCGTACAAGACGCACCTTCCAAAGATGTTACAGTCCTTCTTTACCTCCCTCCTTTCTTCGACAGCTCCCAAGTCTGACTACACACACTTACCAAGTCCCACTCCTTTCCCATGCCTCTTTTTGTGTTCCACGTCAGAGCTCACCTGTAAGACACCTGGGCTCTGAGAGGTGCCCCAAGCCTGAGGACCTTAAAGCAAGGGCTGCCCTTACCCCTCCCTAACACAAGTGTAAGCAACTACGAATCAGGCATCTAGCTCTTCTCCCTTCTCCCCGTCAGCCAGCCCCCACGCCCACGCCCACCCCCACCCCGTTTCTGTCCCTTTCCAACAAGAGCAAACATGTTAGCACACCCCCACTTGCAGCACATGAAAATGGGCTCAACATCCCTCACCCAGGTCTGGGGACGCTGGGGAGTGGTCCCTGAGGAATGGCAAAGGACTGATTTGCAGAGGGGAGAGGGGAGAAAGAGTTTGGTTTCAGCTCTGAATGGGGAGGCAGAGGCGCGGTGGGCGGGCACGGACCCAGCATCAATGGCCATTTCAGGGTCGGTCTCACATGATTTCACAGGTGCCCCTCACTGGGATCTCTGCTGATTAGGGACCTTTTTGCAAACTGGCCTCCTCCATCCAGGCAGCGCTGCCCAGACAGCCACTGACAGGAAAACCGGTGGAGGAGCTGACCAGGACGAAGAGCTGGTACGAGAGAGCTGGCAACCCCTGGGATGAATGCCATGGGGCCATTGTTTGTAAAGTGCTACTTTGTCAACCCCCATGGAGTTTATTACTTCTCCAGAGGAGGAGCAGGGAGGGAGAGGGGCATAGAAATGGATCTGCTATTGCTTGGCGTGTTGCTCGGGCGGATGGTCAAATGGAGCCAGGAATTCACAGCACCAAAGACATGCAGGCAGCTCCAAGGACTGGAGAAGCCCCCCCTGACCCTTGAGGCCTGCTGACTCTCCAGCTCAGGGGCTGTAGACGAGGCGTGTCCCCACATCAGGTTCACATTTCAGAAGTTTCACAAGCATCATTTTGGAGGATAGCAGGTCAGGTCTCCAGAAATGGGGGTGGGGATGGGAGGGCAGGCCTCCTGTGCATAACCCGAGGACAAACTTGCTTGGAGAAAGTCCCAACCAAAGCATGGTTTACTGACAGATGGGTGTCCTCCTGGCCGCCGCGTGACTTGGGAGACTCTAGGGAGGTGACGCACAGAGGAAGAGATGGCTCTTGGCTCAGTGAGGGCCTGAGCACCCATGTTGGGAGGGAAACAGCATCTCCCTTCAAAGGGACCAATGCCCCTGGCTACTCTGTTTCCCAGAAGCATGCCCTGGCAGAGAGGCCTCCCTTAGGGAGCACTGTGTCTCCCCTCAGTGGCAGAGCTTGCAGGAGCCCAGCGGGTGGCAGGGCCAGGGGTCCTCTCTAAGCAGACCTCAGAGCATCAGCCACCCAGCACACACAGGAAATTCCAGGGGTGGCATCTGAGTGCTTCCCTTGCCCCTTCACCTACAATGGGATGGAGTGGGATGGGGGGGAAAAGTAAACCACAGTGCCCCCTCCCCTAAAGGGAGTTCCTGCCTCAGTGGCTCCTGGAACTGGCAGGGTCCAGCTGATTCAGCTCCGACTGGTCAAGAAGTTCAAAGTCATCCCCCTCAGCATCTGTATCCAGGTCTAAACTGGGAGCCCGGGCGAAGCCTCTTGTGGCTCTTCGGGGAGCAGGGTTGGAGGGGCCTGGCTGTGAGGCCCCAGACAGGGCCAGCTGGATCATGCCCTGGGAGACCAGGGTGGCAAGGTTGCTGGTGAGGTTGGACCCTGCAGGCAGGGCCCCAAGCAGGAGTGCTGGCAGCGCAGCCTCATCCTGGCGGGCAGGTGGGGGCTGGAGCTCCTCGGCTCCCGCGGGGGAGCGGTACATCAAGTTGGGCAGCCCGATGCTGGTGTCATCCTCGTCGTCCAGGCCCGCAGGGTCCACATTGATGGAAGGGAAGTCTGGAAGGTCCCGGGCGAAGGACTCCTCTGGGTCACTGTGGCCGTCCAGGTCTGGGGACGTAGCGAGACGGGTGTGAGGAGTGGCGGCTGCCCAGCCCCACACCCCCCGTTTTCCTTCCAGAGATTCAGAGGTGGAACTGTCTCACTTTCCCCGTGGACCCTCCACTGGCTGAGTGCCCTCCCCTGCCCCACTACAACCTGTACAGAGGCTGTTAAGGACTGAGGGCTTCAAGGAAAACAGCAGTGCCACCATGGCTGGAGTTACCCCTAAGCCTACTCTGTTTCCTGACCCACAAGTCAGAAAACAGGGTGAGCAGGGGCACCCCCTCCCCAAGCCAGGGCAAGCTGAGGAGCAGCATGATCAACTTGTGGCGCGCTCACCTTCAGAGCCCTCTGTGAGAGGCGTCTGGCCCCTGGAGAGATTGAAGGTGCCATTGTCGGTACAAGAGACCTCTGTGTCGGAGTGCTCAGAGTCCGTGATAGCCAGCTCCCTGGCAACAGCAGAGTCATCGAGCTTAGGGCGAGAGAAGATTGACAAGCTGGCGGGGGTGACGTGCTGTCCCAGGCCCAGCTTCACGAAAGGCATGGGACTGCAGTCTAAACCATGACCCCTTAGGCAGCTCGCTAAGGGAACACCTTGCACTCATGCTTTCTGGGGCACTGGAAAGAAAGCAGTTTGGGGCATCAAACAGCCACTTTCTCTTCAGCAAAGAATTGGTCCAGGGAATATACCCTTTCCAGTTGGCCAGAGGTTACACCCACCGTCCACACCCAAGAATGGTCAGGGACAGGCACAACCTGTCCCCCAGCTGTATGTTGGGGCTAACAGGAGGCATGGAAGAGCGTGTGCTGGCTACCAGGCTCAGCTGCAGACCTACGGACAAAGCTCCAACACGAGAAAGGGGTCTTCAGACGCTCGTGGGAAATTCCATCACCTTCCAATTCAGTTTTCCATGCACGGTGTGAAGCCCCCTGTGTAACACTGGCTCCTCTCCCAGTTTACTCCTCGGGCTGGAGTCGACTGGAGCCTCAGAGAGCCCTTGTGAGCTCAAGACGGTACTTCCTGCCCAAATGTGAGCTGCCAGGTGAGTCAGGGGGTGCTAAAGCCAGCTAGCTACCTGAGGGCAGAAGGCGGCGAGCTCCTCCTCCTCGCTGTCACTGTGGGTGTCCAGGGCACGTTCTGGGTGCAGGGCTCGGCGGCGCACTACGTAGAAAGAACAAAAGACTAGACTTGGTCCTTGGGGGGAGGGAAGGAGGAGGCAGTTCCTTTGAACTTCAAAAACTAGACCGCAGAGGAAAAACCACTGTCAATACGGCCCTACACCTAGGTCACAAGGTTGGTGTTTGCCGGCAGGCAGGACTACTGAGCCGAGTGCCAGGGGAGCTGATAACATGAGGGAGAAAGAGCTCTCTCCCAGCGCCCTTCAGTCCAGCCACGCACTCCCCCATTTCTGTCCTGGTCAGTTGAGGCAGCCCGAGGACCTGGTCAGTGAGGACCACGTTTGCCAGAAGCTCTCCGGATCTGCTCTGGGCAGACCCAGTGTCCTCGTGGCACCTGAGCTGTCCTGGGAGGGCCTGCAGAGCTGGCCCTCATGGCTAAAGCAGGCACTGGAGGTCTGACGCCATTCCACTGGCTGGCCGGGGGGGCTCGGTGTTGATGACCACTTGCAGGTCTCCCTGAAGACCAGGGCTTAATGAGATGCCCAACCTAGCCTTCATGTGCTGGATGGCTCTCTGGGCTCTGAGCTGGCCGGTTCTATTCAGTTTGGGATGACAGCTTTCCATAGGGAAGAGAGGCCAGGCTTAGAAGGCGAGAAAGACCTGCACTGCCACTGGCCAGCAGTGAGCAGCAAAGTCCTCACCTGTACAAGGCAGGTAACCTCACCCATGGCTCAAGCTGCTCCGAGACATTAAGGAAGACATGTGTCAGGCAGCCAGCTCAGCGCTGGGCACAGGGCCAGCCAGAGCTACATACACAGCAGCTAGTCGGGGGTGGGGTGGGGTGGGGCGGAGAGATGTGCTCACTCTTACTCAGGTTGGAGAACTTGTCTCAGATTTGCTCAAAGGGTCTAGAATTCCAAATAGAAAAATGGCTCAGCCTATACAGGTTTACCCGGAAGAGAGTATCAGGCTCACCTTCAAGCCTGACCTTGCACCAACTACCCCCCACCCCTGCCGTCTCCTCCATCCAAGGGTCTACATTGGACCCACAGTTCTCCACCTCTTCCCCAAAGTCCCCCAGGGGCAGTCGGCCGGGCCGGACACTCACACTGCCTCTCTCGCTGCCTGGCCAGCACGTAGCCACGCACACTGAAGTCCAGCCGCTGCAGAGCTGGCTTTAGCCGCACGGAGGCTCGGTCCCACAGGCGGTGGTACACAGCCAGGGGCCACACCATGACAGCGACAACTGAGAGAGTGGGAGAAAGGATGAGGATGGCGGCAGCCAGACGTGATGCAGTCCTAACGGCCCTCTGCCGTGGACTTGGGCACTCAGCGTGGGAGTGTCTGCTTACTTCTGCTTCCCCTGCCCCCCAATCTCACTAGGTGGTCATGAGAGCAGGGACTTCTGCAGCCACCTACGGGGCCCAGCACTGGGCTCGGCACAGCGGAGCAGCCACATGCTGCCCATGAGCCCCGGGCAGGACCCAAGTAGCGCAGTCAGCTGTGTATGGCTGTGCTTGCCGTCACCATCACCGAGCCATTAGTGAGTCCAAATGGTAAAAATGGCTCAGGAACACACTGGAAACCAGGAGGCCCTAATGTACTACCACTACTCAGTTCTTCCAGCCCCAACTGAGCAGAGCTAACAGGAAGTAACTCCGTTTTCTAACAATGTGCTGGGGAGGGGGAGTGCTCCAGAGAAAAGCAGAGGACCCCTGAAAGTCATGTTCTGTGGTTATAGATGCCCCAACTCTAAAGTCCCTCCTTACACAGAGGCAAAATCACAAGCCACAGCCTGCTAACAGGTCCCCCACCCACCCAGTTTGTGACCTGACTTGGTAGACGAAAGGATTATATGTGGGGAGCCTGGAAGAAGGGAGAAGGTATCTCATGACATTATACATACACAGGCCCTAGAAAATTTTCCTGGAGAACCACACGTACAAGCCCCCTCCCCCTGGAAGCAGTTAGCCAGGGCTGGTGCAGGCTGTACTTACGCATTAGGTAGGACAGCAGGAGCCCAGGGATGTAGTGGCCCAGGACAGCTAGAAAGGTCAGCACCCCACAGCTCAGCAAACAGAACTGGGGGAGCCAGGAAACAGGATTAAGTACTGTCACCAGAGGAGAGGCATGGGGTGGGGGCAGGGACCCAGCAGTGGCGAGCTGCTGAGATGATTCTTCAAGAGGCACATGTGAACAGACACAGCCTTCCATTTCCACTCACGGCCACTGGGTGCGGCTACCCAGCGTGCTTCACCTTTCAGACTGGGCAACGACTGGCCGAGGAGGAGTTAGACAAAAACACTTCCCGAAAGCAGGGGATGGCAGTGGGGTTTTGGTTGCTTTTTTTTTTTTTTTAAGTCAAAGTGAAAGAAAAAAAACCAACCCGAAAACCCAACGACCTGCCCACATGTTCAAAATGACACACTGCACACAAACAAGGCAGCTTTCTTCCCACCTCGGGGCAAGACAGGCCTTTCCCAAGCCCCTGCTGTAGCCCAGGGCTGCCAGCAGCCCTCCCACAGCTTCCCCCGCCCCTAAAGACAGTGCTGGACGAGGACATGTCTGTACAGGGACCATCTCAGGTTAGTGTGAAGTGAACTGAGGCAAAAGTGCAAAAGGGAAGAGTCTTACCTTTCCTGGGTTTTGCTTTTTGAAAAGCAAAAGGTTCCTCATGAAAACGGTCCCACTAACCCAGACTCCAGCTAGGTGGCGGCAGAGTTCGGGCACGCTGAGCAGCTGAGGGTGCACAAAGCCCCAGCTACAGGAGAGAGAGGGAGCTGTGAAAGGTGGCTGGGGCGCCCCATTGTGCTGTGGGGGCAGCAGCCCCTTCTGGGCTCAGCTTGGGGCTGGGCTGTGCCAGGCACTCTAGGGTGAAGCCGGGCTTCCTTCTTGACTCACAGGTTGAAACTTGAATCTAGGGGCAGGAGGGCCAACGTGTTCGGACAGCTCATCCCCGTGAGCACTTGCCCCGAGCCGCATGGGTGAGCCTGCTCTCAGCTCAGAGGCCTTCTATGCTTGGAAACCACATCTTCCCTGCTCGGAGACCAAGGCAATCCTCTGAGATTGCAACCAGGGATCAAAACAGCTGGGTCACCCTGCTGCTGAGGGGGAGGAGCAGTGGGATGTGCCCCTCGGAGACAAGCAAGAACACACAGCACAGCAGAGAAAGCCTGGCACTGAACAGTGGGTGGGCTGAGAAACGACAGCAGGGAGCTAGCTAGCTGTAAGCCACAGAGGGCTCTTGCTGAGCAGGCACTTTTCACCACCAGAGGGCACAGAACACATGCCATGCCCTGGTGTTGAAGCCCAAGTTCACTCTCTCCACGTTTTCATAGGGCCTTGGCCAGTCAGGTTATGGGACACTGCAGTACTTCTTTTTCGGAAACTTCTCTGGTCAAGGTCAAAGGGCAAGAGCCATCTCCATATACAGCTGCCTGAACTTCAGGGGCTCCTTGAAATGAGGAGTTGGAACACACTAGGCCTCAAGTTCTCAGCTTACACTGTGTGTCCAGAACATGGGGTGATCAACATGGCAACAGCATATTACAACAAAAGAATCATTCAGAGCAACAACAAGGGATTTAATGAGCGTTCCATACCTTTCATTGTCTAAGGCGCCGGGTCTTGGCACTACAACATTAAAACAAACACCAGCATTAGTCGGTAGGAAAACTAAACAGGAGAATCACATCCTAACAGGCTGTTGGTCTGGCAGCTCTCGTTGTAACAAGGTTGGGGAAGAGAGGATGGGGCAGCCAATGAAAGGAGACACCACACAGCACCGCAGACAAGGGAATGGTGGCTTACGCCTGCTCAGCTCTCCAGGGGAGGGGCCTGGTGGACCAGAACCCACCTTCTAACCATAACAGCGAAGAGCCAAAGGGAAGGAGAAGGAAAGCGGTCCGCTCCACCTCTGGAGTGTGTCTGGGCTGCTCATGCACAGGGCGTGCTGCCTCAACTCCTCCGGTCCCCCAGCCCAGACCCACCCTGAGTGACGGCATTCCCCAGCCTTCGTCAGGCTGGGCACTACAAGCCTCCTTGAACTCCCTGAACAAAACAGGGTGGGAAGGTATTGAAAAGTCAGATGCCCTGGTTTGAGTAGCCTGCCAACACTTCAGAATTCACCGAGCTAAAACCGTCATCCATTTGCCAATTTCACCTGGACCCAAACCAACTCCCCTGTCTCACAATGCCCGCACCTGGTACTAACTGTGAAGCCGTTCTCCCGCCATCCTGGCTTGGGGATCTCAAGGCCAGCTTTTACACCTATGCTTCCAACCCCACAGCTACTACTGACCAGTCTCGGTGCGTCTTCCTGCCCCACAGCCCTCCAAGCTGCCTATCATTTCTTTCCCAGGGCGGCTGCACTCAACTGCTCATGTAGACACCGCATCGCCCTGCCAGGGATCCTGCCGGCCCTTCCACGAGCTGATCCTTAAATGAATCCTCAGCGTCCCGCGCTAATGTTTGAGAAAACCTTCCATTGCCACCATTGCTTAGAGGATAAAGTCTACACTTTTTGCCCTCACTTTAAGGCTTTATAAAAACCTAATTCCAATGAACCTTCCATTTTATTTCCCAGCATCCCCATGAATGAACTCTTTACTCCAGCCAAAATGACCAGTCCTCTGCTCACAGGAGGTGCACTGCAGCTGCCTGTTCTCAGACTAACGAAGGTCTTGGCCCCTCTAGAAAAGCTCACTCTTTTCTCTCATCTTTTGCTTTTTGCAAGGCTTGTGGGAGGCCCCAATACATGACAGATATACCGATCACTGTGACATACATCTCTGGGACTGCTCAGTAACTGTCATTTAACTTTTCATATAACTACGTACGTATTTTTAGGTACTAGGCTGCTAACCATAGGGTCAGCAGTTCAAACCCATCAGCTGCTCAGCAGGAGAACAATGAGATTGACAGATTTACCGCCTTGGAAACCTGACAGATTTACCGCCTTGGAAACCTGATGTATGGTCACTATGAGTCAGAATTGACTCAAGGGTCATGGGTTTGTAGTGAATGCATTATTGCCTGAACGCAATGTATGATCCATATCTTACAGAACCAAATCTTATATGTTACAAAGTTAGCTTACTGCTTTGCAAATAAGTAATGCTTAACAATTGCTGAGAGAAATGGACTGTCTCATTAAAGAGACAGTACTTTACATAAAGCAAAGAACAAAACCCGCTGCTGTGGAGTCCATGATTCTGACTCACAGGATAAAGTAGAACGGCCTCGGGAGTGGGGGGGGGCTGTCATCTTTACAAAAGCACACTGCACGCTGTCTCCTAGGGAGCAGCGGGTGAGCTTAAACTGCCAACCTTTGGGTTGTTAGGTCGTGCTTTAACCAGTGCACCACCAGGACTCCTTAGAACTTTCTATAAATGCCTAGCATTCAGTGAGGGGGATTACAAAAAAGCAACCCTGAGAGCGCCTTCGCAGGTCAAGTCCTGCTCTAGCAGGGCAGGCCGACTCCAGGGGTGGACATACATTTCTAAGATTAATAATCCTGGGACGGTGGGGACCCCAGTGCTCAGGAACTGCAAGCTATTCAAGTCTCTCCTAAAGCCACTCACTCCGACATCAGAAGGTACACCGGCCACCACGTGCCCACTTACAAGGCCCCAAACGAAAGCTAAAAGTGACAGGAAAGGGCAGTGCCGGTGCCACCCAACTCACCTTTCCTTTCAGGCCAGATCTTGCTCCTCCACTGCTCTGTGCACACGATGATCATCGAGCTGAACGCAAGCAAAAACACCGGGCGGAGGGGCGTCAGTGCGAAGCACCTACAGAGGCAGGGCAGAAGGAAGAGTCTGAGGCAATGAAGCCAATTTCTGTCAAGATCACAGGCGCATCCAGGCCCCCGGGGAGGTGACTGGAAGACTGGGATTTTTGTGCCAACACTAACCCGAGGGGCCACCTTGGGTAAATCACTTGTGCTGTCTGGATCTCAGCTATTTTATCCATCGGGCAGAGCTAATCATTTGCTTCTGCACAGCCAATGAGCTAAACCAAATACTCTCTTACACCCCCCCACCCCTTGTCATCTTTACAGCCTGCAATTCTACCATTTTGGAGAAATTCATCCTTCCTGAGCTCGTAGGATAAAAATACAAATCTGTTGGCCAACTGTAAGGCCCCTAATGTAAGGTGACAAATTGATAGAGCTACTTGAGAGATAGCATTCACCTCAGTCAGGTGAATCCCTTTAGTAACTGAGACCCAAGAAAGGAAAATGACTTGGCCAGGGTCACAGAGAAAGTTAGTCCTGAAGCTCCATCTGAGAGCCCGTTCTTGTCATTCAAAGACCAACCTTACAGAGACATTCGTGAGCAGCTGGGGAATCCTGGCCACTAACGCCACACCTGACACAGCTGTGACCATAGCAATAGATTCAAGGAGGAGGATGGTCAAGAGTCCATTCTAAATGACCACTCTGCAATGACCTCTTCTCTACACCTGACCTCATGCATGATCTGGTATAATCATGGAACAATACCAACAGGACAATTCCCATTACATTAAAAGGAAACAATACAGCATTTGCATATACATGAATATACATATACACTCTGAATTCATGCTACCTAAGTAATTGCTTTAAATAACGTTTTGAAACCGTGCAAAGAATGAGGGATGGAACAAGGAGAACGTAGAAATCCTGCCACTGATGACATCCCTAACCCAGTCTCTCCACCCCACCACTCCAGGAAACGAATTACTTAAGAGGCTGAAGAACGGAAGCAGCTCACAGAGAGAAGCCCAGAGGCCTCCCAGCTGGTAATCTTCTCCCAAAGCCAGCTCTTCATCCCAGCAGACGAGCACACGTAGCAGGCCCGGGAGAGGGGCTCGGGAGCAGCTGCGTCTCCCCCTGCAGCAGCATGGGCCACAACTGCTGTTGCCTCCAGAGTGCTCGAAGGGACTGGGGGGGGGGGGGGGGGGGGGGGGGACGACGCACTATCTGCAACCCCCCTCCCCAAAACACAAACACAGACTAGCGGTAGGGCGAGGGTATTAAAGTCTCTAAAAAAAGATAGGTTTTCCACAAACAATGTCGATAAAAATACTGTTTCTCCAAGCCCCGGGCAACTTTGGAACAGCCTGTTACATCCCTAACTCTCCATGCTTGTAGGCAATTCAACCAGTATTTACTAATCAGCTAGAAAGCAGCCCAGGTTCAGGAAAGAACCTCATGCTTCTGTTTACTGATGTGTGTGTGGTTACATGTACCATGAGAAGGCACTAATAATACAGACGGCATCTCAACGCTGAGTCTGGAGATAACAGTAGGAAATCAGGGCAGAAGGGTGAGGGGAAGGAGAGGGCATTCGGATAGGGAGGAAAGGGTAGTCACTGACAGGCCTCAGGAACTACGCCAAGTGAGAGAAACAGAGCGCAGAGGAGGGGGTGAGGATGAGCAGAGAGGCACTAGTCAGCTCGTGAAGAAGGGCTTTTTAGGGCACTGGGTGATTAAGTTCATCCTGCTGGTGGCAGGGAGCTGGCAGAGTGGTATGAAGGGGGCATACCTGAATTGTGAAGGTTCACACTATAAGCAACCTCGAAAGCCAGCCTACCAACCCCCCCGCCCCCCCCACACCACCACCCACCACCCTACCCGTCCATAAATCCACTTTAGGCTCCGGGGCGAGCGGCTGTTACTCAGTGTCCCTTTCTTGAGCAGGCAGTTGCAGGAGCGTCAAAGAAAGACCGTGTGCGGTGTCAAAGCGCATTTCTGTGGGAAGCGCTTCTTGCAGCTAGGAATAAAAACGTAATGGACGAACCACCTCACAGCACTGGCAGTGCCTCCTCCCACTAGACCACGCGTGTGACTGTGCCCTGGGGGTTAGCAAGCATGAAAGATGGGAAGGGGGCTCCTCCTCTCCTTCCAGCTCTCAACACGGGCACCCGACATACAAAAAGGGTTTCAACTGTTGTGTTGGGGGTAGACTGAGGGCCTTCATGTGCGGCCATTTTATGGAGGTAATCTAGAAGCCCACCTGTTAAAAAATAAAGCTAACAGCAACTCTACAGCCATGGGCGAGGGTAAGGCATGCTGGAAGAGAAGAAGAGTGGAGGGAGATGAGTCAGTTTGGTCCTGCTCTGTCTATTCTTCCGAGCCGAGAAATACACAAGCAGATACAACCATGAACCCGCCTGAAAAGAACATGCAGAACGTTTTCAGCAACTACAATCCCATGAGCATCTGCAGACTTGGCAACCACTACAGGCAATCCTGGCCATGCACACGCGAGTCGTCGATGGGCCTGCCACCGCCCGGCACCCCGTAGTGAGCTCAGGAGTCATTCTGCTATGAACGCTCTTCTCTCTCTCTCTGCTTCTCATCTGCAAAGGTCGGCCTTTTTACTGAAGAACTTTCAGAAAGTGCAAACACTCGTTAAAGATGAAAAAGAAAAAAGGCATTCACATACAACTATCCAGGGCATAAAAAGAGGAGGCTGCCTGCTCCTGTAAAGATCGGCAGCCTCAGAAACCCTAGAGAGAGCCACCGTGGGCCACAACGGACTGGGCAGCTGGGACCTGTGAAAACGCGACCTTTGCTCTGCAAGGGCTTCAGCACAGAAGGGCCCAGCGGCAACTGGGAAGAAGGTCTGCCACTCTTGGCCAGTGGCGGCCATAAAGAAATCTCGCGTGCACTGACTCCGCGACACGTGGGCACCATAGATGGAAGGCATTTCCAAACAACGGGTCATTTTCATTGTTTTTTCAATCTATGAAGTACTTTTGCTTCCCCTCCCCTCTACCCCAACCCGAAGATGGCTGAAACTTAAACTTGACCAAACATCGAGATCCAGCTACCGATGGATTTAATGGAAATAGTCCGAGGAGCATGTTGACCCACAGGACACAACCTGTGGGAAACTGTGCAGGACAAACCGGTTTCTTCAACAAATAGTTGCAAGGGGGAAAAGGGCAAAAGGGGAAGTCATGGCCTAACAGAGCTAGGCAATAGCAGCCCACGGTGCTACAGTATGTGGACCTGGCTCCTGACCCAAACAACAGAGAATACGTATTTATGTGGACACCGCCTGGACTCACCATTTTTCAAGACTTGATAATAGAAGTGATGTTTCCAGTAAGTATTTTTCATAAATATATACTGAAATATTCACAGATGAACTGGTATTACACCTAGGATGTACCTTCAGAGGTAGAGGTAGAGAAAGAATCAGGGATGTAAGAAACCAAGTTGGCCATGAGTGAATGCAATTAGTCAAGCACCAAAGAACAAATGTTGTATGAAGCCACTATTTTGAAAAGGAAGTTTTCACACTCAAATAATTATTTGTGGATGGCCACCAGGGGTGGAAAGAGGAAGTCACCCGCTAGAGGGGAGACACATGTCAACTTGGGTGAAGGGGAGGCAACAGACAATTGGAAGGGAAGCTGGCAAAAAAGATGGCCTTAGGGCAAGACTTTGAGAGGTTTGCAAGAGTTAAGAGCTAATTCTGCTCTACGCACAGTCCTGCAATAGTGGTGCTCTATGAAGCAAACAGGTATTGGAGGGAGCGTGAATATGAATAGACCAGCTAGCTATGTGTATTTACCTTTGCTGAAATCATATCTATGAGTGTGGGCGAGCTTACAGGGCACGGTTATGAAAAGTTTGAGGGAATGAGTGGTCGGGCCTGGGGGATCGGGACCATAGTCTAGGGCAGCGTTTCTCAACCTGTGGGTTGCAACCCCTTTGGGGGTTGAACAACCCTTTCATAGGAGTCGCCCGATTCATAACTAGCAAATGTACAGTGATGAAGTAGCAAAAAAATTAATTTTATGGTTGGGGGGGGGCACAACA